TTTTGCTGTATGGGAGGACAAGTGAAAGTTTGCGCATTGTGTTCATAGCCATCTGCTTGCCTTGTAGTACATTAAATAATAACTATATATCGAATTTGATCTTTTAATTGCACTTAATGTATCTTAATACATTAAGCCATATTAAGTGTTTATGTTTTTCTACAGGAGGATATTCTGCTGTTCTGTAGCCACGGATTTGCGGGTCTTGTCTTTTTCTTGCAGGACCCTGTACGTTATAGTATAAAATTAGTTTTAATCGTTTAATCACCACCACAGCTTCTTGTCTCCATTGGCAACACGCATGATTTGTGTCGATTGCAAGTTACGCCTCAGGTATCGGAGAGTGCAAGTGGCGATTGCAAGTGACATTGTAAGTTAGTTTCTTTTTTCTTGTCTTCACCACCTGGCTACTGTTGAAAAGAGATTCAAACAAAAAGTAATCAATAAATAGAACAAAATAAAAAATTTAAAAGACTGCAAGTGACGTCGCTAGCGGAAGCGCAAATGTCAGAGTGCAAGTCTGAGAGTGCAAGTGCAAGGCTGCAGCCAGACCCTTCTCATCGTGTTTGCGTGACTGCATTCAGAGAGCACAGGCGCGTGTGTTTAAATGCCACTACAGGACCAAAACATTAATGCATGCAGATGATCAAGTGCGATTACACGCATGCTTGTTAGAATAAGTGTGTGCGAATGTGTCTGTGTGGATGTGTAACGAGCTGAATGAAGATGGTGAGCACTGCAAATAATTCAGGGCTCTTGAGAGCTGACTGAGCACAACAAGCTACACGAAGACTTCAAAGTGTGTGTGATATTCTGATGATGATAGATTATTCATTTGTTAACCTTAGACAGGATTTACTCAAACTGCCAAGATTTGTGCAGGTTTAATTAAAAGTTGAGACCACCTGTTTGAGACCACCTGTTTGAGATGTTACTGGTGATGGGAAAGTACATACTTTTGACATGCCACTGATACTGTTTGAAGAATTTTATTATTAGGGGCCAAGCACAGAAGGTACGATGGCACCTATTGTATCCAATAGAATGAACACCAAAATTCAAAAATCGCAAGGTTTGTTTTTTTTTGCTATTTTTAATTGTTTGAAAAAAAACTACTTTTTCGAACTCGTCCTAGACGTTTTGTCTGATTCTCACCAAAATTTGCTCAGATCATCTTCAGACCATGCTGTCAAAAAGTTGATTAGTCAAACCGTTCTCGAATAACGCACAAACGATTATTGACGAAAAGCATGCAAAACTGGATCTGAGGCTGTATCTCCGCAACGGTTTGGCGTATTGAGACCAAACTTGGTGTGTGTTATAACAAGCATGACCTGAGACTACCCGCTGTGTTTCGGCGCTGTGCCACCTAGTGGTCAGGAGATATGAACAATGCATATTTTTCCTTATAAGTTCTGAATGGTTTGGCCAAAAATCACAAAACTGGTCTCTTTAGATTAGGTGCAGTATGCCGAGTCGAGTGATACCCAATTTTCCCATGTCACCCATTTTTAATTTTGTAGTAAAATACTATATTTTACGAACGCAATGACGTATCATTACGAAACTTGGTATGGGTGCCCTGAAGGAGCCTGAGAAGTTTCGAGCCACCGCCACCTAGTGCTAAAATCAAATATTCACATGCTTATAACTTTGTGTGAGGTCGACTTATTTTCACGGGAGTACACTTTTTAGACTCCTGAATCCTTGGCGAGTCCAGTGATACCAAACATACCAGGTTTTGCCTTATAGTTTGTGCAACGTTGCATTTTAGCACTTAAACATTTGCTAATATCTTAGAAACCGTTACTCCGATCGACACGAAACCACTGTAGGAAATTCGGAAACATAGCGTGCCGGCTACATGCTACTGCCTAATTGCCAAAATTTTGATAGTATGTGCCAAAAAAATGCAAACAAAATCAGCCATCAGTCATTTTTTCTGTTCTCATGTATAAAAATTTATAAAAATCTCATGTATAAAAAAGATCTGCACACTGTTATTCTCCCTTTATTAAAAAAAGTTAAAAATAGCAACGTTTCGGTCAAAGACCTTCGTCAGGCAAACACTACAACTGAACAAAACATGAAATTGCCATCGACTACAATAGAGTATTATGATATAAAATGCTATATTTTACGAATGCATTGGTGTACCATTACGAAACTTTGTATGTACCATCGAGACAATGACCTGAAAGTACTCAAACAGTTTTGAGACAGTGCCACCTTGTGGTCAAAAGTTATAATGAAATTTCAAATAATTGCTAATAGCTTTCTGTGAATTTTGTCTATTTTAATGAGACTGGTATTAATAGATTCCTTGGGTCATGCTGAGAACAGTGATACCAATGTTGCCATAGTCAGCCAAACTTCCTGTCCGCCATTTTGATTTTCTTTAAAAACCTACTTTTTCAAACTCCTCCTAGACCGTTGGCCCGATTTTCACCAAAATCGAATCATATCATCTTCAGACCATGCGGACAAAAAGTTATGGATTTTGTGTTGATAAACAAAACCGTTTTCGCATACCACAGCAACAAATTAGAGGCATGATGCCAAAATGACACTTGAGGCTGTATCTCTGCATTGCTTTGGCATATTGACACCAAACTTTGTGTGTGCCATTGTCAACTCACACAGAACACACCACATCGATTTGACCTATTGGTCAAACGTGATAAGCAAATAAATTATGTTACTAGAGGTTGTATTTATGATTTTTCAGCCGTTTTGACTAAAATCATCCTAAAATGGCTTCAATTACTCATTTCTGCAGTTGGTCTGATGCTTGCTTCTGTAGTGCTTGGCCCTGTAATGGCTGCTTGTAGCTATATTTATAATTACTATTACTACTACTAATAATATTTTGAATTAGCTTTTAATTTTATGGTTATTAGTTTTCATTTAAATTTTAGTTTTAAGGTTTAATACTTTTGACCTTTGATACTGCTATTTAACTTTAATTAATTCTTATTTTAGTCATTTAATACTTAAACTTAAATGAAAATCAAATTCATTGGCAATTAGAGATGCACTGGCAACTAACTGAAAAAAGTTGGTTAAAAATAAAATATAAACATTAGATTTAAATATTTTATTGTATATTCTTAATCTACTTTTTAATAAGCTTTATTTTCAAATGAAAACTATTTCTAATCGTTAAATTTAGTTAACAAAAATTATACTGACATAAAAAAGCGTCACTAAATTCATTACCTTAGTTGTTCATAATAACTGGTTTAGTTAGTTGAATTTTATATTACCATAAATGATGCATATTTAACAAGAAACAAAATGTAGGGTGCAGTGATGCAGAGATTTATCATTCTATGTATTCATATATTTTAGTTTAAGGTTAAGTAATGTTATGTGCTTTTGATTTTCGATATTTATATTTAGCTTTATTTTCATTTCAGTTTTAGTCATTTTAGTACTATTTAGTCAATTTAAATGAAAATTAGAAGTGTTGCATTGACAACTATCTAGTTAAAAATAAAATAAATATATTATATGAAAAACATGTATTTTATTACATATTTTTAAACTACGTTAATAAGCTTTATTTCAAATAATGAAAACCTCTAATGGTAATTCATTGCCTTAAAATACATTTTAAGGCTAATCTTTAACAGGCACGTTAATCTGAATTGAACATTTTGCATTAATTAAATACATTTTTATGACTTTGAGGTCTAAAAATGATCATTAAAATTTTTTTCCCCAAAATGTTTTTAAGTATACAAACTGACATACGGCACCTGTTTTGGTGTTGTTTCATTGGCCGGTATCTCAGGTGGAAAAGGTAAGTGTCCTTGACCGAGGGGAGAGTCCTGATGAAGTGTCTGCTCCGGTGAGAACGCGTCACTGCTTTCCTCGTCAAACGAAGAGCTCCCCACTTCTACTTTTGGAAACTCCGTCTCTGAGAAAGAGAAAGTGAAAAAAGGATGCTTAACATAAAATATTTTCACATTTTCTGAAGAAAGTATAAGTGACGTTTACCTAAGAAAACCTCGCTACCACAATGGCAAAATGTTGATACACAGTTATTCGGAGTGGTTTTTAGCATGCTACTATGTGATTGCTTACAGGCTCAAGTTCTGTTCATTTTAAATGTAATTTTATTTTTGCATTTTAAAAAGGGGTTTATTTTCAGCATTGTATTTGCTTTCTTTTCTGCCAGGCATTTGATTAGTCAAGTAACAGCCCACCTCTCCTTAACAAGCTGCATGAATTAAAATATAATTTATGCCCACAGCTCAAACATACTGTATGGGACTTCTAATACTTCCTTAAATAAATAAATAAATGAATGAATGAAATGTGGTAGAAATAGAAACAGTCAGTAATCTTAAATAAGAAAAAAATTAAGATAAATAAATAAAACACCATGAAAGAAACCTCTGATCTTTAGTGCACTGCTTCCACATTCCACTTACGCTGCACTAATATTGTCCCAGAGTGAAAAATAAAACCTTTAAACTCCAGTGCATCATATTTATATTTAATTTGAGCATGGCATTACGCCAATAATCATTAACTCTCTAATTAGGTTATTTAGGGATTAAAACAGTTTAAGCCGTTCTGTGCAAACGTCTTTCAGCATTCCTTCACTGTGCTGCATTGTGTGACGCTGCACAACCTTCACGGTTAATCGACTCATACCACCACAGTGGCGTATACTCTATGAACACGAATGTAAATTCCCCTCTAATTAATTTAACTTGGTGTTCGACGCACAGCAAATCTCATTACCATAACTCTGCATTAAATGATCACCCTCTGCACTGCTGCAGGAACATGGCGGGATATAAATATGAAGATGAATGCGCACACACTGCTAATGACGTGCTGGAATGAGTACTGGAGAGCCTGTGTATGGATGTAGATTGAGGGCAAGAAGGGAATGATCCAGAGGAAATGTTAAGTGAGAGGAATATAAATGCGAATGTTAGGCTGATTCGTTTTTTTAAATGGCCAATGCTAATATATTTAAGACTGCAACAACTAATCAACAATATTGATAATGACAATAATCAACAACCAATTTTTTACAAAGTTAACTAAATTTGTGCTTTGGTTTTTCTTTAATATTTATAGTTATTCTTATTCAATTGACACTTATTTATGGTTAATATTATTTATTTACAGGTAAAAAAAAAACTGTCAGAATATATCAATTTAAATATTTATAATAAAAAAAGATTATCAACAAAATTGTTAGTCCATCTTATAAACATTTCAATATAATTGGACATAAAATATATACATAGTAGTTAAAATTATAGTAATTAAAATTCATTAAACTGTACTGACACAAGGGGGAACTACTTCTCCTATTAAACAGCAAACTGTGCAGAAAACTTTACTGTGGTGTGAACAATATCATGTTTCTTGCTTGAATTTAGTACCGATGATGGCTTGTTTGAGGCTGCTGTGCACTGGAAGGATGTTTTTGTGAATGAGCTCCATCGGTCCGGGTCGCTGGGAGATTTTATCGTTCAGATCGTCAGCTAGACGAGCTCGTTTCAGCAGAAGCTGCTTGGCCTGTAGAGACGGCTCTGCTGACGTCTCTGTATACAGGAAATACATATCATGTGCATGATCACGTTGTTCATTACATGTACTTCAGTTTAAATTGTACGTACCACATTTTAAATAAATGCATTTAAAAGCACAGGCTGCATCCGAATTCGCATACTTCTCTACTATATAGTAGGCAAAAAAAAACACTATGTGAGTAGTATGTCTGAATTCACAGTATTTATTATCCAGTAAGTAAAAAGTCCCCGCTATTTATGGTGAGATTTTGAAATATGCATACGGTGGACATTCTACTGCTAGGATTTGTGAATGGCAGTGAGGTGACACAACTGACACTGGTAGGTCACGTGACAAAGACAACATAATAAATGTAGTACATCCAGATTACATTCGTTCTACTCACATTAATACTATATAGAACATACTTTTTAAAACAGTCGCTAAGTAATTGCTTATTCCAAAGAAGTACCTACTCAGAGAGTATGCGATCTCGGTTGCAGCCATAGTCTTTCTATGAGGTGTGTGTAAGTGTTTGAACTGCAGGGGGCGTTATTAAAATACTCGCCTTCAAGAATGTGCATCCTGACCAGCTCTGACTTCTCTGGACGACTGCGGATCTTTCTCTTCAGGTAGTCTTCGGTCTGAGATACAAGAGGAAAGTATGAGAAATAAAGTTAGAGTTTATTTTGGCTTCAATGGAAAGAGATGATTTAAAAAAAAAAACTTACCCGAGCTCGTTCTAAACTTCGTCTCTGCTCATGAAAGGATGCAGAACTTTTCAGTGCTGGAAGGCAAAAAGAAACAAAGAGATAAGACTATTAAATCCAAAGTTGATATATAAACGTATAAAGTTTCTCTTAAAGGAGCTGTGAGAACAGAAAACATTTTTCGGTAAATAAGAAAAATCATAAATCGCAAACTCGTTATCTGCGTCGTGCAGATTACAGGAAACATCTTTACCGCAGTGAGTTGCAAATACTTTTCAGCTTTTTTTGGATCAGGTAAAAATGTTATTTTTGTATTAAAAAAAAAAGATTCAGAGAGAGAAAAAAAAATACAGGAACAACATATTACACTGCACCTCTTTACTCCAGGCACACATACGCATTCGTACACGCAAAATCTAAAAATAATATCGCAATCCGGGAGACAGTTTAATCCAGCAGGTTCACAGTCTTGAGTGTGTGTTTCTGCCCCATATTTAATACACCAATATAATATAATAAAGTTAAAAAACAAATACAAAAATAGAGAAAAATACAAAAACATCATTGTGTGTGTAAATATATAAGTTCAGTTTATGTATATTTACTCATTTTAACCTTTAATTTATTATAATATATATATATTGATATATTATAATTTATTTATTATATTTAATATATTTATTACACACATATAACTATACATTATATTTATTACTAAGATGTAAAATCACTTTCAGTTTTTGCAGATTGAAAACACTATACTTTTAAAAAATAAAATAAAACTAGAACTACAACATTTTTTTAATAACATTTTTAACAACTCAAAGGGTTTTTGTTCCTACTTTTCTATTGCATACTGCCAGTTCATTTTTGTCGAACTTTTCATCCGATCCTTTTTTTTATAATGTTTTACGAATTACATTACACATAATGGTAAATCATTTAAAAAATATGTAAACTCAATTCTGCTACGTACAGTATATGCTATGTGCTTTCACAAATTCAGAAAAGCAGACAAATATATCATTTAAGAGAGAAATGCAATGACAGCACAAGGAAACAAAAAAGAGTGGGCTGGAAAAAAGCAAGAGGAAAAATAGGAGAAGTTGTTTATTAGGAGATTCTGTTCTGCGGGTCAGAGTGGTTCACATACTGCCCACAGCAACACACAAGCTCCTTTCACATCACTGCATCCATCCACACACAATGCCCTTTAACCCTGACCAGCAAAAACACAAAATGCAGTTCTGCGCCTGAAGAGAGAACAAGAAGTGTGTGTGAGAGGGAGAAATGATGAGGTTAGTGTGAAAAACCCCTTGATCTGTGTGATGTCTCATCATCATTTTCAGCTCCAACACCCCATTAATCTTGATATTAGGGATTCATTATATCACTGGGGTCAAATACGGTCGCATTATCTGACAGAAAATTACTAAAGCTGATTGTGCATTAAATGAGGATCCTATATTCACAATGGTCCTCCACTGTCAAAGACATGCTGATGTTTGTCGTTTATCTGCAGATGAGAAATTAACAAGGCTAAAAAGGTGAAAATTAGGGCACAGGCAGTTTGTGTTGTAAAACCTCTTATAACTATTTGCAAACGTCTGTAGAGGCTTTCTAGAGTATCCAATGATTTCATGTTGTTTTAGCTTATGTAATCAGAACTTGAGCAGAAAGTCCCTGTAACCACATCCCCATCAAGATTCAGGCTCAAATCTTCAGATTTTCTTTCTGAACTGCATGCGGGATATGTGATTCATCGTGCTGATGATAATGCAAACTTAAGTGTTTCTAAAACAGAACATGTTTCCTTTGACTAAATCACTCACAAAACAGTGTTATCAGCATCCACGCATACTAACAATGCATGCAAAAATTCATGAACGTTTCCTGAAATAAAAACTAAATTGAAAAACAAACTACACTAAAATACTTTTGTCATGCAATAAAGTAAAAAAAAAAAAAATCATTTTATTTTTAGTTTTTTGATGCAGATTATATTGTCCACATATAATATATTATCATATTTAAAATTATTCTATAACATGCCTTCATTAGACAGCCCTGAAAAATGTAATGATACCACTTAGCACTTTAACTTTGGCAGCACAAAAATACAGAAACAAAACCAAATCAAAACTAAATAAAACTAGAACACACACACACAAAACACTAACCTTGAAGTCAGAGTAAAAAAAATGATGAAATTGAAAATGATGAATTAACCTTAATTCAACAAGTCACTAAATTTGTCCGCACACTAAAGATTTTTTCCAATCAGACCAAAAAAGGTCTCTCAAAAATATAGTTTTTATTATCCATATGCAAAAGTGAAAAAAGTGACAAGTGTATTAAAAACAGACCAAAGATCAGACGTTTCAGCCCATGCTTTCTTCAGTGCTCATTAATTTCAATTAACCTTAATTCAAATGACAAACTGAAAATAATAATAATAAATAATGAACTCACAATAGTTGTCAATATTATACATAGGCCTAGATAAGGTTTATATATATTTGGGGCAAAAACAATTGTTGTTCCTACTTTCATATTGCATACTACAAGACATTTTTCTTTTTTTAAATCTCTCTCTTTTATAATATTGCAAAAAATTCTATAGAAAAAAAAAGTAAAATTAGTATATGTACATTTAAAACTCCTTTTCATGTCCATGATATATTACTCCCTGCCTACAATGAATGAGTATCACAAAGCCACAAATACAGAAAAACAAATATATAATTTATGGGATAAATGTAATAATAGCTTGTGAATATATATATATATATATATATATATATATATTTTAGTGTAGTTTGTATATATATATATACAAATTCAAAACGACAATATCCCTGTTAGACAAGTTTTTCGACATCAGACAACTACATTTACAATCTGACCTGGTGGTTCTGAGTTCTGATGCTTCAAAGGTCAAACTGTCCTTCTTCTGAATGCTGTAACGATGGGTTTTAATGGGGGAAGCATTCATTTGAGAGTAGAAGATGGCAGCTCAGCCAAGGGTAATCAGACAAGGCAGATAAGAGCGAAAGAGTGCATTCAAGTTGACAGGAAATGCAAGCCAGCACAGGAAGTGAAAGGGAGAAGACAGTGAAAGTGGGGCTCAGGAATATTCTGAAAGTGCAGATACGCATTTGCACATTTGCTGGTTGCTCTTCCTTCCCATTAGGATCCATATTTAGATCCAGACAGTTATTGGGTGAGCGCTGTAAAGATCCCCTAGGCTGCCATCTGCTGTCATTTATTTCTATCCTGGACAGACCCTTTCTAACCAAATGACTTTCTATATTCTCTCTTCAGAGTATCTAGTTTGCTTTGTATAATCAAAAGGATTTGGAAAGCAAACGGCTTTGATGATTATAGCAGGCGTCTGACCTTTTACTAACATATATAATGGGAAACATGGCATATATTTAAATACACTGCTTATCACCTGCTCAGTGGCTCAACTGAGTGAGTGTGTGTGTGTGTGTGTTCGTGTAACCCACCCAAATGAAGAGCATGGCTAGTCATGCACTCACTATGAGTAAGAGTGCACTAAATATATCTCCATCTTAGACTCATGTTTTAGCATGCAAATGTGTAAATCTAAACATTTAGTGTCCGTAATACCAATCAAATTTAAAGCAATTGAAACATTTAGATTTAAATTTTAATTCTTAAAACTTAATGCTGCAGTGAGCATTTTCTGCACTACTACAGTACATGTATGCATTTAACATTCAAATAAAATTGCAAAAATAATGACTGTTTTCACACAAGTTTCCCAAACCTACTTTCTATGATTGGTTAACGCAAACATGCCATGTTTCATTTGTCCCAGAAATGAATTTCTCAGGACACATATTTAAGTAATACTGGATAGGTAGTGCCATTTTATGCATTGGATTTAAAAATAAATAAATGAAAAGATAAATAAATAAATAAAATCAAAGAAAGAATTAAAATGAATGAAAATAAAAGAACAAAAAGTTAAAGAAAGAAATGAAAATGAAAGAAAGAAAGAATATAAAATAAATACAAATTAATGAATAAATAAGAATGTTTTTAATCAGAATTTGAGCAAAAAGTCCCTGTAACCATACGCTCAAACCTTCAGGGCAGTTTTCAATGAATCAACATGACAGATGGATAGTATAGAATGCTAAAAAGATCATTTATAAAAGATATCTTACAATTAAGGAGATCTCTAAGAAACAGCTTCTTAGTATTTTCTATGGCTTCACTGTTGCTGGTTGAACAGTGTTGACAGCCAGTCAGTGTGCCAAATGAGATGCTGATATCAGCAGACACTGGGTTCAAACTGGAAGATGCTGGAAGATATTATGTGTCCAGTATGAAGCATTACATAAAACTACTTAGGGGAACCATCAACTTATTTGAACCCTCTGCTTCTGCTTTTCTGGCTTTCATTTCTTTTTCTTTTTCAGATGATTCTAAGAAGAGATCTTAAGCAAGATTTCGGTGCTTCCATTATTGGTACGCCTCCTTAAAGGGCCAGTCACACAATCAATGTTTATTAGAAATCAAACAGAAATTGATGTCAAATTTATTAGTATGTGTCGTGTGCATGCTTTAAAAAGGGATGCATGCAAATGTATAATCATATCATGATTTTTGTAGATGAAATTGGCACATAAAACATTGGAAACAGATATGATTAAACTTCACAACTGTAAATTAAAATGGGGTAAAAAAAAGAAACGCAAAGTTTTCGCAAACAATTCAATCTTTGATTAGCAAATCCAGATCTCTGGAGACAAAATGAGGTGGTTACATGGCAACTGCATATTTGAGAGAATGAAATTAGAGAATTTACGTCTCTAAATACTTAAAATGCAAACTTATATTCAGATGCAGATGAAGGGTCAGAGCAAAGGTCTTTTTTAAACTCTATAGCTTCAAGCATCACATTATTTATAATATTGCAAAAAATTCTATAGAAAAAAAAAGTAAAATTAGTATATGTACATTTAAAACTCCTTTTCATGTCCATGATATATTACTCCCTGCCTACAATGAATGAGTATCACAAAGCCACAAATACAGAAAA